TTATCTTATTCTTTTTGTTTTAGTTAAAAAAATAGTTTTGTTTAAGAATATTTATTTTTAGAAATCTATTTTTAGATATATTTCTACGTCTGTCATCAAAATTGTTATTTTGTTTCATTTTTTTTTGAATGAGAAGAAATAAGTTGAGTTAAGAAAACGAATAAACTCAACTAAATTAATGATTTGAATGTTAACAAAAGATTGACTGTTATTTCTTTATATTTTTTCAAAGTATTTGATTGAACCATTTTATTTTTGAGTAATGAATTAGGCAATATGAAAGAAAAAAAAATTTGAAAAACAATTTTAAATAATAATTATAAATATAATTTTTATTGTTTTTCAATAAGTCAAAAACATAGCTTCATCTTTTAATGAGAGTATATTCTAGTTCTTATTAGATTGTTGTGGAAGTATTTTGATAAATGAAAATAAAAAGGTAGAAGAGAAAAGAAAAGTCTATAGTTACTAATCTTAAAAATGTGATTATAGAGTTACCAATAGATTAAAAGGAAGATAAGTAGTAGGTATTTAAAGAATTATAAGAAGGAACTTAATTATTAAGACTTAATTACTATGAAGCAATCTACTGAACTTGGCGTTCCAGTTCCTACACATGTTTCATATGTTGTAAGACAAACAACTGACCTTAAACCAGAAGAAAGAGAAAAAATTCAGAAACAAACTGAATATAATTGCTTCTTTTTCCCATCACAAATGCTTCTTGTAGATTATCTTTCTGACTCTGGATCATCTGCTATGACTGATATTCAATGGAGTTCATTATTTAGAGGGGATGAAGCATATGGAAGAAATCAAGGATACTATGCTTTCCAAGAATCTGTTAGAGATGCCTTTGAACGAGGGGATAAAGCCAGGTGGGTGGTTAAAGATATTGTTAGTGGTATTCCAAATTTCACAAATAACCCAGAAGATCCATATTGGACTGAACCAGAAGTTCCAGGCACTTTTGTTAATAAAGGAAGACTTCAAATAGAAAGACCAAATTTCTTTATCTTACCTCAAGGAAGATGTGCAGAATGTTTGTTATATGAAGTTATGTCTCAATGCCTTGGAAAAGGAGAATGGCATTTAATTTCAAATGGATGGTTTGATACTACTGAAGCTAATGCTAGAAACAATGGATTCCATACAGTTAATTTGTTTGCTAAGAACTATCATGATCCAGTAGACCCAGAAACTCTTTGGACAAAGAATGAGTTTAAAGGAAATTTGAATATTGAACGTGCTGAAGAATTTATTAATGAAAAGGGAAAAGAACATATTCCTTTAATTTTAATGACTATTACCAATAACACTGGTGCTGGTCAACCAGTTTCAATGAAGAATATAAGAGAAACTTCTGAATTAGCAAAGAAATATGACATTCCATTCTTCTTTGATGCAGCAAGATTTGCTGAAAATGCATATTTCATTCATGAATTTGAAGAAGGATATAATAAAGTTTCTATTCCAGAAATTGTTAAAGAAATGTTTAGTTATGTTGATGGATTTTGTATTTCTTTAAAGAAAGATGGAGTTTGCAATATGGGTGGTGCATTGGCTTTCAGAGATCAGGGAGTCTTTTGGAGAAAGTTTAGTACTAAAGGTGATGTTGGAGTAGTCTTAAAACAACTTCAAATTTTGAGATATGGTAATGACTCTTATGGAGGATTAAGTGGAAGAGATATTATGGCATGTGCTATGGGTTTATCTGTTGTTGAAGGAGAGTCATATCTTAAAGGAAGAATAGAACAAGTACGATATTTCGGGTATGAGTTAGCAAAGAGAAATATTCCAGTTTTCTTACCACCAGGAGGACATGCAATTTATATTGAAACTGATAAATTCTTTAATAATAGAAAGAATTATTCTCCTGGAGATTTCCTTGGGGTTGGATTAGTTATTGAAATGATTAGAATGTATGGAATTAGAGCCTGTGAATTGGGACCATTTGGGTTTGAGTGGGATAATAAAGATGAAGAAGATAGAAAAGGAATTAATGACCAAGTTAGATTTGCTGTTCCAAGAAATGTATATTCTAAAGAGCATATTGACTATACAGTTAGAGCATTAGAACAGATGTATATGAATAGGGATTTAATTCCCAAAGTTAGAATTTCTAGAGGAAGACATTTAAAGTTAAGACACTTCCAATCTGGATTAGAGCCTATTTATAATGAGTCCAAATAAAATTTAATTTTCTTTCATAAAAATTAGTTTGCTTTTTGTTTATTTTCTTTATAAAAGTATTGTTTTATTATTTAGTTCTTGTAAGAAATTAATTAGTTTAAGTTAAGAAGGAAGTTATTTGATTCATAAATTTAAATGACTGTATTTATTTTCATTAAAATAGCTTCCAAAGAAACTACTGACTACTCTTAGTTGTTTCGGTGTTAGTTGGTTTTCTTTTCTTCTGCTTTATTTGTGTTATTTTTATCTTCTTCTTGTTTTTCTGTCATTTCTATCTGTGTTCCATTCATCAAAGCTCTTTCTTCTTTAGTTGGAAGTTTTTTAGCAAGACATCTCTTTGTAATTTTCATGATTGCGATTGAGCAAATTGTATAAATAATAACTGCTATACATAATAATCAACATCCTCCTTCAAAATTGGTTTTAACTTCAAAACATGTTTTATGACTATTAATATGTTCTTCTTCTCCGAAGAATTCTGCTACAATATCATCAATGCTAGCTCCAAGTTGTAGAATTTTAACTACACAATAAGGCTCAACCATTAATTACTCAAATTATGATAGTTCAATAATAGCAGTAATAACTGAAACTACAAAAACATCAATACATGACTATTCATATAGTACTATGAATGAAATAAATAAGAAAATTGGTACAATGATCTTTGTAACTAAGAATCTACAATAGAAGAATATCGGTTTCCATTTAAATATATATTCTCCATGATTACTTTGTTTGTCATGAAGAACTACATTATGTACTCCCACAACAACATGTGATATAATTAAAGATTCAATAGTTCCTAACATCAATGTAACAAATTCATATGCTAGATAAACATATAAATTAATCTTAACTGGATCATCAATAGATTCTGAATGTCTTATTGGTAATGGAATATCAAAGAAAAAATGAAACAATCATCAATACCATAACGTATGAATCAAGCATAGACCATTTACTTAGCGCATATAATACTTTTAAAATAATACTTCTTACTTTAGGAACAACTAATGTTGATGGCATAAACCATGTGAATAATAAAATTACT